GGCACTGCACACCCCCCAGCCCTGCAGCCTCCTCCACAGCCCCATCCTTGCCTGGAGCACTGACCCCTCCACCCCCAGCACCCACACACTGCCTGCGATCCTCCCACCTATACCCCCGCCTCGTACGTTGAGGCCATGCACCCTGCACCCGCAAACTGCCCCCTAACCCCATGCACTGCCCCTGAGCCCCCCGTTAGCACTCTATTCACGCACACCCTCACACCCCCTCTGCCTACCGTGCAGGCTGCAGCTGCCCTTGGTGTGGGGCAAGGGGAGTGTGGTCACCCGAGAGGGTTTGCATCCCAAGGAGGTGCCAGGGGAGGTGGGAGCAGGCAAGGGCAGGGCAGATTGGGTTGCATGGCCAAGTTAGGGTGCAGGACAATTAGGTGGGGTGCAGGACCCGGGTGGGCTTTGCACATAGCTGGAGTGCAGGGCCAGGTTGGGGTGCGGGCCAGGGTGGGGTGCAGGCCAGGGTGCTGACAACGTGAGGCCAGGCTGTGCATTACATCCCATGCCCAGCGGGTGCACAGAACCCAGGGGTGGGGATCACAGGCAGCTAGGGAAAAGGGGGAATCACCCTTGGGGACCTGCATGCACAGTGGCACCACATCTCTCCCACCCTGCAGCCACCTTTGGGTGTTCCTAGGTGTCAGGGGGCTCCTCAGGACCAGGTGGAAGGGGCAGCCACAATCTGGAGCTGTGGTCCAGCCCGAGCACGTCGCTCCCATGGACTGGCTCCATTGTCCTCCCAGCCCAAGTCCGCCCTTCCTTCAAGCTTGCACCTAGAGCAGCTTGCATGACCCAAGAGCTGCAAAGCCCCAGCCTTTCCTAGCCCAGGGCTGGGCTTTCACAGACCAGTTCAGACTGGTGGAGGCAGCACTGGGAGCACAGGGCCCTGCCCATGGACTCTGATCAGCTGTAAATGCTGGAGCAGCGAGCAGGGTTGGTGCAGGCTCTGCTGCAGGCAGCGTAACCAGCCAGCAGTGAGAAACCAACCCAGGCACTGAGCTTAATCTCAGGGGTCAAAGGCAGTGTTTTCTTCTCCAGAGAAACCTGCTGCTGCATGGTTTAGCAGCAAGAGCAACACCTGGGGGGCAGTTAAGGGGTGAGCACTCCTGGGACCAACCTGCTGGAAGTGAAAGGAAGTTCGCTGTTTTGGGGAACTGAGCTGAGCTGTACCCCCAGCCTGGGGCATCCTGCTGTGCCAGAGCCAGGGCATTGGCACACACCTGGGGCTATGGGCATCAAGGGGCCGCAGACACATCTAGGACAAAGCAGTGAGGAGGGGGAGAGGCAGCCCTTTCTGTGCATGGTGCCAGCAGGTGAAAAGAGCTTAGGGACGACAGCCCTTTGGGGCTGGCCAAAGCACTGAGCCCTTCCACAGCCACATCCACAGGGGAATGGTGGGGTTTAGGGTCACCCACATCCCCAGCTGCAGTGGCACCAGGTGGCCACACCCTCCACAGTCACAGTTCTCAGGGCACCAGGGGAGTGTGGGCTGGAAAGGAAACCCCTGGAAAGGGCAAAGGTGGTTGAAGGTTTTTTATAGCTCACTTCCAAGCAGGGAAATGAGGTTTGTGCTGGAAGTGTGGAAGTGCAGTTCCCTCCAGTTCATGTGGGCTTCAGAAATGAGGAGCAAAGTAGCTTGCCAGCTGCGTTGGGGGCACAACCCAGTCCCCCATGAGGTGTCTCTGTGCCACAGGGTCAGGCCACAGTGTGCCATGTGGGCATCTCCACCTCACTCAGCCTCCTGGCTGGCTGCAGCTCCCGCGAGCTGGGTTTGGGGAGCAGGTGCGTCCCTTCCCCTGGGGCAGTGGTCCCCTCCTCCGGGGCATGGCTGCCCTCCTCCTCTTCCTTCTCCTCCTCTTCCTCACTGCCCGGGCAGAGGAAGCAGCAGGGGAAGGCTTTGCAGGAGGATGGCAGCAGCCTCCTCAGCGCAGTGGGGAGCCCATACACCTGGCTGGCTTCACCCCTCTCTCCACAGGGGTGGCCATCACCCGCCCTGGCTTTCCGCAGCACCAGGTCGGAGAGCAGCCCTCGCTCCTCCAGCGTTCCTGCAAACAGGGAAATGGGCAGTGAGATGGGAGCCCCTTCCTCCAGCTGCACCCTCCCAGCCCACATCAGCCCTGGACCCCCAGCAGGGCTGCCTGGAGGCAGAGCTGGTAGTTCAGGGATGGTCCCATGGCCAGATCCAGCCCTCAGAGCAGGGCTGATGCAGACCTGCTGTAGCATCCCCTCACCTGAGACAGTGTTCTCCAGGAGAAATGACAAGAAGCCAGTTAAGATGACAGGCACCATGAGCAGGGAGAGGAAAAGGAGGTCCAGGGGCACCCAGCCTACAGGGATAGTGCCAGAATCACTCAAGACATCCCAGCTCAGCAGCAGAGAGTGGGCAGGAGCTGTCACAGCAGACCCAGGGGTTGGAGAAGGAGCTGCCTCCCAGGGCATCAGAGATGTTTAGTCAACCATGCCATGGGGCCCGAGGCTTTGCCTTGCCCAGGGAACATCCCCACTACCTGTGGC